ATTCAGTTTCATGTCCACAAATATGCTCTGCCCCTAATGTGAGGACCAGTGATTTGTTGTTTGGTTTTTGCAAAACTTTTGACACTGGATGTTCTCAACAGACAACCTTTCTCCCCCCTCCTTTCCTCAGTTTCAAATATCTCTTGTTCTCACTGAAAAGACTTAAATGTTAAGATTTATGCTCCCCGATCTACATCTCTCGTGTCTCCAATTTTTTTTCTTCTTACTTTTACTTTACGTCATCTATTCCTTTGTTCTCGTCGCCTGTCTCAGCCACATGATTATTGCCGCGAGTCGGACAGAGTGCAGGAGACCCAGGGCGCGTTGACATCCACCTCCTCCGTGTGATGTATGAGATGGATAAAGAGGGGAATGGGGATGAGGGACGCGAGCACAGTTCCAATATTCAGAGGCACATAAAACATTTGGGCTGTAAAAAGAACCAACATTTGTGTCCAAATTTGAAACATGTCGCAGGTCTCAGCTGTTGTTTGCAAGGGGATTTCTTTTCCTCTTCTCCAGAGCTTTGGCAGAGATAAAGATCACAAAACAGAAGAAAACATGCCGTCTTTTTAAAATTTTTTTCCATGGTTTTCATAATTTTCTTTCCATGCTTTTAAAAATTAAAAAGTAAAATTAATCAAATCACCAATCGATTAATCAGCAAATCAACAAGAATCTAAATTATGAGACCGGTTCGAGTTTGTTGACATTACATGTATCTTTGGATCTGTTCACCACAATTACCACGGAAAATAAAATGTTTTTGTACATTCAGTACCGATGCTGAAAAATCTGCTCCGACCACATTAAAAATAACTGTCTTCAGTCAATGGTGCTAAAAGACTTCAAAAAACATTGTATTTATTTCTTTGGATGATCCACAAACCTCCCGCTCCTCTGTTTTGAGTGGAAGTATTTCTGCTGAAGAAATACTCGGTGTGAGATCTGCTGACAGGCATGTGAAGTATCCAAGAAAACAGAAGATTCTTTCTCAGCCATATTACTGCTGTTCAGATTTTTGGAAGATCAACGTTTTAATCCTTTAGCTCTAACTTCAAATAAAAGATCACAAACTTATAACAAGAAAAATACATTTTACGACTTTATATTTCTAAAGCACATTCTACACAAAAATAAAACACAGGCATCAAACAAATTAGGATTAAACCATAAAACTGCACATACCAACTGGCGGCCGGTGGGCCAAGTCCAGTCCGTCAAAGCATCCAATCTGGATTATCATTTGAGAGTCATGAACAATGGACAAATTTCAGTGACCGAGAAGGTTCAGGTCAAATGCAGATCAGAGTGATGGGGCGCAGCCTAACTATTTAACAATTTCCCAACCCACAACAGAACTTTAATATCACTCCTCCAGCTAACAGGAAGCCGGTCAAAAGTACATAATAGCAGTAATGCACTCCCTCCTGCATGTGCCAGTTCAAAGGAGGGCTGCAAAACAACCAGCTATAAATGAGAACGGGACGTCTGGCTGACCCCGACTTAGAGTGCGTCACTAATCCCAGTGATTTATAATAAAAGCATGGATTTATCATGGATTCTTATTTCCCTTTTTTTTAACTAAAGAAAAGACAGGCTTTAATTTTGCACTCAACTGAAAGTAGCTTTTAACCACCGAGCTGAGCCGATGTGCTAAATTATAGAAATCACTGTTCACGTGTGCAACAAGGTTTATGACAAAGAGCAGCGGTGATCTCTGTTTGAATACTATAGATTATTGTCATTTCTTGTCTTGTAAATCTTACTTGATATGTATGTTTGTTATGTTGGCATGAAGAGAGAGAAATTAAGGAAATCTTAAGACCTACAAGGATAGAAATCCATGCAATTTTACACATGTGTAGTGTTGTAGAATCATTTAACATATAACAATCGTGATTATCACAATATGGTGGTAAATTTGGTGACAATCTACCATGGAACTCTATAGTCCTGCAGAAAATCTTTCTGAGGAATGTGAGATTTAAACCTTTTAAAAATTAAATAAAACTGTGCTTACTTTTTGAGGAGCAAAAAGAGGAAAAATTACTAATTAAAACAACCAATTCAAAACCTGGAGGAAAAGGTTGGCGTCAGGAACTGTTTACAACTTAATTTATTTTCCAAAACAGTCACAATTCCATGAAAAGAAGACCTCGGGCATTAAAAAATAATCAGAAAAGCCTCACAAAAAACCCAGTCCATTGGAAGAAAAAAAAAAAAGAAGCTGTTTAGGATAAATATATTTTAATCCTGGTGTAAACTGAGCTTGAATAGCAGTGTTTCATGGCGTCCAGGCCAACAGCAACAGATCATAAAAACTTACCTGGCATTATCTGGTCAAAGGAAAAAAACTGCAGACATCACAGATTTAGTTGCTGGCACCACACAAGCGTTAACTGGATCCAGGAAACAACAAGAACCGAATAAAGGAAGGATACGTCCAAGCTCAGCTTAGGGAGTTCCTGAAGAAGGTGCCAGACGTGCTTTCAGGCGTTAACGTCTTTAACATTGAGCAACAGAAATTGATCAAACAAGAAGAGGTTTAGAGGCATGCCACACACAACTCCACCATCTTCCTTGTTGACCAAAATGGAGTAGTATTCAGTGGTCGTCAGTAGCCATAGCACAGAGGATTTCTTGGTAACGTCTTACATCTGGTTACAGTTACATGCCCCATGACATTATTAAAAAAGGTCTTGTTCCATCATTCTGATGTACGCTGTTGAAACTCTCAGTTCAGTTCAAACTAGTTGATTATGGGAACTAGTTGGGGAGCGGCAACTGAATACTAATAGTGGTGCCACATTCACTTTCTTTCATTTGTGTTGTCTTTTTTTTGGGGGGGGGGACTTTTTGCCCTTCATTATGTCTCCCAGGTGAAAGTCACACTCTTCTGTTTTTATGACGTAGATTATGATGTCACCACTGTGTTAGCGTAGGTGAGTGACACAGGTACTGATGTACATTAGGTGTGTTGCCCTAGTTTGCCCATGCCTGGTTAAGCTTCTCTATGAAAAATCATGCAGTCGAGACACGGCTCGTATTAGACTTCCTTCTGTTCGTTGTACGTGGTGAGGAAATATGTTAAGCCATCGTTGGGTTATGTGCTTATGTAAATTAATACTTGTAACAGCAGAGACACATTAACTCGATGATGGATAATTATGGTAGTAACTTATTAAATCTCCACATCCACGGGCTAACCGTTAAACACCTGCGCCGTGGTAAGTTTTATTGGCCCTCCAACCCCCCGGTGATTATCTTACCCCATATCCAGCGTCGCTCTATGAAAAGCCTGCATAGACTGACTCTCCCACTGTGCAAAGAGCTTCTAGCAGGAACCCAAATATACCCAGTTATTCTCAAACGTCCGCCTGCCAACTACAACACTCATATTTATTTATGTATTTATCTGGACTAACTGTATACCTGTTGAAACGCCTCGGTGCTGCGGCCATGCTATCTGAGGCGCAATTGACAAGGGTTGGCTGAGCTTGGGCCGGCAGTGCCGCATCGCATTAAGTCTGGGTTATTTATCCCGAGGGCTCATAATGATGATGCTGTCCTGAGCCCTGAGACGTCTCTGTTCTCATGGTCACCCACCGCCCTTCACAGGATGCTGGGCCTGGCAGCTTCCTACTCTCGCACCCTCGAGGAATGTAACACACAAGTTGTTTCTGTGTGGAGTGTGTGTGTAAGAGTATAATCCTGGCACTGTCAGGAATTTATGTTTTTAAGTTTTTTTTTTTTTTGGGGGGGGGCAGGGGAATGTGACATTTTTGGGAAATCTGTTTTAGACAAAAAACATGACAATTTTCATTTGAATCATTTCTACAATGTTACCGATCGGCCACAGGCTACGTTTAGGACTTTTCTTGAAGACAGCAAAATCGTCTCAATTGTGTGATTTTTAAAATTTAAAAAAACTTATTTTGACACAGTTGTTTTAAATCAAGAGAAGATACTAATCACAAGAGAATTTTTTTTAAGATTTGGAATGGAGCTGTAACTAAACTCATTCACAACAGCTTCGTAAGTGCCAAGACGCATAGCCAAAAGGCTTGTGTCCATGTTAGGCCAGGGAACTGGCACACCTGATTGTGATTGGGCCACAGTAATGTTGTTTGTCACACTGCCGTTCATGTCATGGTTAGTGGAAATATTCACTGAAAAAAAACCAAGGTTATGCTGTGTTACTGACAGTCATGGGAATGAGTTGTTTTTTGTTTATTTTGTTTTTTGTTTCCCTATACATCTAACCATAGTAGAAATGTGTGATTGCAATGCATAATTTTTAAAATGCTATTCCATAAGCACTTTAAATTAAGTCTCATGCAATCAAGTTGAAAAACACAGTTGACTTTGATGATGCCTCGGTGTCGTAGCTGTACCGAGTTAGCATGGAATTAGCATCTTTGCAGTTTTCATGTTCTGTCAGTGTGTACATTGGTTTTCTAAGGATGCTTCACTTTGCCCCAAGGACCAATAACAGTGTACATAGAATAGGGTTAATGAGACAATCTAAAACAGGGCCACATGATATATATGGCCATGCATGAACTGCCCCATCCCTTTATAAAATAAAATATAACTCTCCCACTCTTTTAAAACTTCCTTTATACATCTTTTATCTGTGCGAATTGGATTTTCACTTAGTAATTTGCATCAGCACCCATCGGCATGAGATTCACATAGCGTAAAAAAAAAAAACCACATAAAATTTGTCATGGACGTAAGAGCCTCAAGTAGCCATGCAAAGAGCTGCATGTGGCACCTGAGCTGCAGGTTGGCTATGTCTGCTCTAAAATGACCAGAGGTACGAGTGTGTTGGTCAATGGGTGTTTCTCCATGGCGTAAGAAGCTTCGTTTTACCTTTGGATTGGCTTCAGCCTTGTGACCTTTAAGAATGGATTTTGTAAACGAATCATCTAACAAATGTCACTGATTGATTTTAATAATTTAGAAATGTTACTGTGCATTCCTTTGTCTTTTAGATTTGATCAGCGCTCCACCTCTACACCCGAAAACACCAGCTGCTGCGGCACACAGACAGTGACATGTTAAAGGTATGTGCAACTAAACTTGACCTTTTACGCTGCACAGACATTTAAAAGTAAATCCAGCACACAGTACAACACAATCTCAGCTTTTTATTCTTTCTAAAAAGAGCTGGAGAGATGGAAAGTAGAGTATATTGTTTTCATTTCAACGCCTCCCCTTTTTTTCCATTATAAAAAAGAGTGTCATGGTGAAAAGCAGGGACTTATTTTAAAAACAAAACACACGTCTTCCTGTTAATGGAAAATACTTATGTGCACCTTGAAAATACAATAGTTCCTCATCTGCCTCTTATTGTATTTCTACTTCTGAAACTGGGGTGTTAACTAGGAAAATATTTATACAAAGAATATTTTTTTGTACAAATTGTATATCGTGCCTGGAGTTATGCATTGATGTTGCATTTCTTTGTGTTTGTCATTAGATCATTTTAAACCGTAATTTCCTTAGTGCTGCATTTATATCTCTATCTCGACACCCACGTAAACACTTGCCTACGAATGTAGTAATTTTTTTTTCTAATTAAAATATAAAAGCTATTCCTTTTGTTTGCATTTCCAATGTAACCATTGCTTAAATGGTACCATTGTCACTTTTTTTGAATAATGTTTAAGTCATCATTTACAATAAAGTTAAACAATCACTTCCCTTTCCAACTTGGGCTCTCCAAAAGACACTGTTGGGATTTAAACCCAGGATCTCCTGTTTACTAGGGCACTTTAACCAACTAAGCCACAGCGTTTCTATGTTTCAGACTTGGTTGGTATTATCAGTCAACAATCTTTTCTTGGCCACCTGTGCTAAAATTTCTACAAGACAGGGTGTTATTTACAACCAATAAGGTGGTGTAGTGTGGCGCTGTGGCTTAGCTGGTCAAAGCACCTGTCTTGTAAACAGGAGATCCTGGGTTCAAATCCCAGCGGTGCCTTATTTTCATGGATGAAACAGGCAAATATCGAAGTTAGCATTGTGCTATGTTGCCACATTTCTGTAACCACTGCCACCCTTTCAACTAGTTCCTTGAAAGTGGAAAAAAGTGCTGGGATTTGAACCCAGGATCTCCTGTTTATTTAAAAGACACTTTGACCAACTAATCCACACTGCATATGCTGTCCTGGTTTGTAGTTTTAAATTAACATTCATTTGATATGACTTATGTCTAAAACTTTTTTCTCACAATACACAGCACCTCATACAACAGACGTTTAGATGGAAAAGGTCAGTTATTTACAATTGTGTCAGCAGGGAAACAAAACTGAGAATGCATGCAACAGAAGCTAAGCCAGTGTTTATTTAGACAGAACCGGTCTGTGTTTACTCTACCAACTATTCCTTTTTTTCCATACCAACCTTTGTATTCAACGACCAAATTTGGTCATGTCCTTTTGGGCTTAGTTTGCTTCAACTTTTTTTTTGTGTTTCTGAACAGTAGCTTGTTTGGTTGCTAAATGATCCCTAATCAACAATTCAGACCAAAGTATGGTCTGTCATTATCCCACGGAGCAAGCCAGTCTGGCATAGAGAGAATCCTGCCTGTCTGTTGTAAGCAGGAACCAACTGTCTGCCTTGACAGTAGCACGGCGTGGATATACTCACAGACACACACACACACACACACACACACATCAAAATAGAGACTAATCTGCATCAAATCTTCAAGGTTCACTACATGGATACAGAAATAAACAGTACATGCAAGTAGATGAGCCAAGCATCAACAAACACAGCGGTGCACATGCACGTGCACTGCATGCACCATTTGAATAGAATAATAAGATATTGTGGAAGACATTAATCATACACAGGGGAATCGTTGGCTAAAGACGGGATGCTTTCTGGATGCTGCGTGCAGCCATCTTTCTTTCATTAGGTAGTATAGGAGCAGCACTGTAGGTCTGTAGGGCACTTTAACCGCAATTAAAGCTGTGGCTGTATTTCTGTGAAATACTGTGCACTAAGTGTGCACCGCCCACAGTAGGCGAAACACATGGCTCTGAGTAAGGCAAGGCTGCAGGCCCTTATGATTGGGGCTTTCCTCTATGAAACTTTCATCACTCTCAGCCATGCAACCCGAAGAGGGAATCCCAAGCTTTGGTGACCTCTCTGAAAAACATACACAGTCTTTGTATGTCTAATGCACTAGTACTAGCCAGTAAGTGATCTATAGGGTTTGTTACTGTGTCCTTCGATGACAGAAGGTTCTTTTTACAAATTAATTTCACATTCTTCGTAAAAGAAGAGACAGAAAGCGGCGTGCTGTCAGGAAGATGGATGAGCTTCTTCTTAAAGGGCCATCGGGGAACCAAGTTCCACCTTCCATCCCGGCAACTGTCAGTGTGAGAAATGTCAGCAATTAGAAGGTATGGAAATGTGAAGGTGATGGTCAGAGATGGACACGAGCAGCAGGAGGGAAGGTCAGAGCTGCAGTGCGGTATCACAGAAATGTAGGCCAGCTGTGTGATTATATTTTGGTGAAAGTGAGTTCTGAATGCCTGCGTTTTAATGGGTCGGTCGTGGCTGCGTCTCCACACACGTCTGTTTCCGTGTCCGAGTTAATACTTGTGTAAATCTGTTTGACATTAAGCAAATGAAAAATACTGGATAGCCTTAGGATGTCATTATTCGTACGGCATGATGTCATCGTAGCAGTGTCCCATTTTTAGTCATTGACGCTCATTGAAACGTACGGTCTGGAACATTGAACTTTATCAGACACACACATAGAAACATGTGCATCTCTTTACTTTACTTTTCTACAAATATAAAATGTCAAACTGCAGATGTCAGATAATAAACTATTCATATACAAATAACTGCAGTAAAAACAAAGGCTAACCCTTAAGGTGTATGTGTTTTAATTCACTCCTCACTTCACTCCAGCAGACCTCAGTCAGAGTTGTACAAAAGTACAAAATCAATTTGTTATTTTTAAATTAACATTTGTTAATATGGGTAGAACGCAATAAAACAGCGAGGAGTCCTTCTGTCAACTGTCTTTGAGCCGATGCTTCAAGTGCCAGAAAAAAGTTCATAATTCAGCAAAATCCAAGCTATTAAACGGTGACATAAGTGTGGTAAACCCCACGACTCGCTGGCTTTGAAAACATCTTGCTGGATCCTAGGGTGCTTTTCTAGTGGTTATTTAAAGAGAATCAAATAGCAGAGCCTTGCTGTTTGCACACTGGTGAAGAGAAGCACCAATATGACGGCTGTCCTGCACTTTTTGTTTATTTTTTGGAGGGCTTTTTATCACTCCACAGTTGAAAATAAACTGCTGAAAAAATACTCTGTTTCCAGCTGTAGGTCCTCAACTGAGCTATGAGGATTGCCACAACATGCAAATCCTGTGTCTGTAAAGATAATTATAACTGGATCTTTATGATTTATCATGTGCTGTCCTGGCACGGATGTGTCACGGTTGGAATTGTAGCCGTTTGTGGCTGTTTTTTTTTTTTTTTTTTCCCCAGCCGTTGAATGATCTTAATGCAGGAAGATTTGATTTAGTGCTCCCATAAGTCGCACCTTTCTCACTTGGCTGAAAGTTTTCACCCCTTTACATGAAAACATCCTCACCTCAGGCTGCAGGCAGTTTACCAGACTGTAATAAAAACCTCACAAAGTCATTAAAAGCATAAATTGACGACACAATGCTCATATTTCTTACAATAAAAGAAGTTGAAGAAATGGCGGCTCTTACTTTATCCCTATATGTCACTGTTTATGAGGGTAGATCCCATCACAGGGTGAAGACGGAACGAGGTTTTGGGATGTATAATGTGGTGTCTCATGTGTTGCCAGTTGTCTTGACCACTGGCATGTCTGCTTCTGTGCATTTGCCCAGAACAGCCATGTTAGTTTGTTCATGTCTCTGAATACAAAAAAAAAAAAAAAAAAAAAAAAAATCAGCAGCACTGACTTTGAGAGAAGGGAGGAACGGAGATGAGAAAAAAACACAGGGGCGCCTTGTGTGGAGGTGGGAGGTTGAAACAGGCATGGGGGGGGGGATTTTTCCTTTAGCTCCATTTTCCTCCAGCACCACAGCTGATTGCTACCACATTGATGATGGTTAGTTAGTTGGAAAGTATTGTATATTTGAGAGCATACTGGTCAAACTGGCTCGCTTCGCTGTGGCAGTGAGTCTCCCTCTGCCACCACAGACTCTTTTTCTCACCCTCCTGCAGACCTGTCTCCATCATGGGATTGGAAACATTGATCTGCAACTTTGTTTTCATCTTTCCCAAAAGGTGGAGATCGATGCAAAGAGGAACGGCAATGACAATTTATCAGTGATGTTTAAATGTATCTGTATATTCACAAAACTCTCTCTGACTCTTCTCTTTTTCATGCTAGTATAGCTCCTTGCTAACCAAACCTAAGCGATACATCATTTTCAAGCCTCTCCAGTGTGTACTTGATTTAGGAGCAATGATATTATACTCCTGTCTCCTGCAATACAACCCAGAAATTGGAGGCTGTAAAATTTAGTGTGTGAGTCCAGTTTTATGATGGAACTAATTTTTAAACGTGTGCTGTGAAATAGCTTTGGCTTTAGCCTCTTTGCCTCCACTTCCTGCTCCTGCGTTTCTGTACGACATATCCGTGTACTCTAGTTTGACCCACAGAAACCTCAACACTTTCAATAAACATGGCAACAATGTTCGAACGGCCCCTCGATGGTTTTTACACACTCGACCAGCCACATAAATGTCAAAACATGGCACCAACTGACCAGCTTGAAGACAAACCATCTGCCCTTCCATAACGCAAAAATATAAATAGAAAATATATAAATTGGTGCTTCTCAAACTGGGGGGCGTGTTCCACTGGTGAGAAAAGGTTGTGATGATGGCGCAACTGCACTTTTATTTTGTCTTTTGGAATTTTGGGTTTTTTGATATTATTGATTTGATTCATTATAGAACATAACGTGACTTGGTGTTCAGTAAATTTGAAATGTAAATTGCCAAGACTTGTTTGGGTGACGGTGAAGGTTAGGCTTGAAAATGTG